CTGGGTTCTTCTTCTTTTTTCTTCCTTTTCCTTAGTCTCCCTGGTTTGCCCCCGCTAACCCCCTCCCTCTGCACTCCTGTTCCCAACCGAGGCCCCTTTCATTCAGGTAAAACTGTAAATTTCCCAACGCGCCATTGTTCTTCAATACTGCCCAAAGCTCCCTAGAAATCCCCGAATACTTTTTTGGTATTTAAATCCCCGATAGATAGGACCAATGTAAATTTTGTGACATTCAAACCTTTTCTGGTTCACAAATCAGTCACCCTTGTCACAGTTATTGAAATTCCGCAACTCGCCACACCAGGACGGTGGAAAAAGCGGGCGCGGTCTTTGTTGCCGACCAGGCTTTTGATCGCCAGAGAAAATTTACTTACCTTCAGATGAGTGAGCAGAAAAAGAAATAACACTCCCTTTGATTTAGTTAGGAAAATGCAGACATTTGGATTCAGTGCAAACATACAACACTCGCTTGTTTTCGCGATGCGGCCCTCGATTAACCTGTCTTTGCCCAGCGCAAAGTCTATTCAACAACTGCGCGTAGTTGCTTTTTGTCCCGTCCACAAAGAGCCATTGACTATATATTAAAATGATTGTTGAAAGGTAGAGGAGTATGGCACTTAAAAGCAGGGAAAAAAAAAATCCCTGTGACTCAATCAATTAAGGCGAGCAACATTTATGCATTTCAAAAAATGCACGCAGATGCGGGGGGTTGGGGGATGAAGGTTGCATTTCTGGAAGCTCTGTTTAAAACCCAACAGCCCCGGCCGGCCGGCCGAGGGTTTAGCTGTAGCGTCTGCATATTCATTAGGTCTAATTATTTTCTAGTAAGGAAAACACAAAAAGCCAAGAGTCGGAATCCTTCAATTTGCCCTTTGTTTCTAACTTCATTTGGCTTCTTTGCAGCTGAATCAGACCCTAAACTCTTCTCAGACAAAGAAACCTCAACTCATGCTTTCACTGGCGGCCCCGTTAGGAAACTCACCAGTGCCCCGGCGAGAGGAAAAAATGAAAATGAATATTTTTTTGCCCAGTCGCCCGCGCGGGCCGCACCGGTGGGAGGAAGGCAGGGTCAGCGGCAGCCTCTCCTCGCCTTTCTAATTTTCTGGTCTTTTCATCGACTAGATTGTCGCTTGGTGTTGGCAAGATGAGTTGCCCTTTCCCTAGGCTCTCCCGGCTCAAAACTCCGCTTGTGTATCTGGGATGGTTTCCCGGTGTCTGAAGGGACCTGGCCAGCATTTGCGCTTATTGTGCTGGGAAATAGAAATTTGAGAAAGGAAAAAAAAAAAAAATCATATGTTCTGTCCCCAGCAACAAGTCAGTATAGCAGCCCAGTATTCCCCACCAACTTTGAGTGGAACCAGGTTGGGGAATGGAGGGAAAAAGGCTATGGCTTGAGGGGTGGTTTTTCAAAAACAAAACAAAACAATTAGTTTGTTCAAAAGATGTATCAGAACTACTCAAGGGGAAGTTGGATCTTGCCTTCATTTCAGTTGTAAAAACCTTATTTGCAAGGAGAAGTTTTCTCTAGAGGCTGTAATAGTGTTCTCACTAGGGAGAACAAATATTGAACCCACCTCGCCTGCCGTTCAAAAAAAAAAAAAAAAAAAAAACAAGGGAGGGGACCTGAGGGGGAATGGTAGCCGTTGGGAGGGGGAGAGGGAAAATAATTCTTCAAAAAAGAAAAGTCAGTCCTCTCTCTCCAGTCCGTGGAAAATCCAAGGGGGACGTTGACAGAGGGTATTTTTAGGAAACGCTTCCAAATATACAGGGTAAGAGTGAATGTGAGGAAAAAAAAAAAAAAAGTTGTGGGTTGTAGAAGTTATCAAGTGGGATTTGCGGCGCTCTCTGCAGGAAACGCAAGCGGCTCCAGTTCAAAGCCACATGCACCAACGTGACATATAAGCCATTAAAATATCATCCTGACGGCTCATTTCTGCTTCATCATACATTCCCTAACTGCTTCCCGAAAGCTGGAAAAGGAGAAATGAAGGATGACCGCCTCGCTGGAACCACAAAAGAGAGGCTTGGAGGGGTTTGTGGTTCCCCCTCGGCCACCCCAAAGTGATGTGCAGAAATGAGGCGATCCCGGCAACAGGTGGAGCGGGGTAAGTGTGTGAGTCCAGGGGGCAGATAGACGGGACCTGTACAGCCAGCTGCCGGATAGCAAGCGCCCTTCGCGGGGCCACTGGCACCCAAACCCCACTGGGGAAAGAGGCCCAGCTAGACTTTCTCCCCATTCCCTCCCTCATTAGCCCCCAACCGTGGGCATAGGCCCCACCCCATTGACATTGAGGGGAGGAGGGGGCCCTTCCGCCAAGGGCAGCGCTGGGGATGAGTCCATCTTTTCTTCCCGGGGGGGGGGGGGGGGGGGGGGGGGGGGCAAGGAGGACGAATGGGGTTCCCACTGGCACCGGGACCAAGACCAGCTTCTTACCCACCCGCCTTTTCTCCCCTCCTTGTAAACTGCCTGGGTGCCCCACCATAGGCACAAGGAGGGGAGTCGTGGCGGAGAGCTTTCCTTTCACCAAGTGAGCGGGACCCTCTCCAGGAGGAGGACCCCCCCCCCCCTCCAGGCAGCTTCTCGCCCGTCCCTGCGAGGATGGCAGGGAGGGACCCGGCTTCCCCTTTCCAGGGTCAAAGGAGCTAAGTCAGCCTTGCTGGCAGCAAGATGATGGAACTTCTCCGCCCCAACCGGAGGGGAAAGGGGAGATGCTGGCTGGGTCAGCCGCGGGGCCCGGATCCTCGCCCTCGCGTATCCTCGTCCTGCTTCAGGAAGTTGACCGCTGGGATCCGCTCTCTGCGCGTAGCGCGCCACGGGTTCGGGACTTGGCTTTCTTTCTCCCAGATTCGAACGAGGGCTACGACTAGTTCTCTGGGGAGCAGGCCGCAGCCGCCTAGAATTCTGATCAGTATCTTAGACATTTAGGGACACAGGAAATTTGGGGCAAGTAAGGCGGGAACTGAGTCGAGATGTGAAAGAAAGCTAGGACTGCCTCAAAGGCTCGACCGGAAAGTTTTGGGTTGATGAATGAGGTTGGCGGTCCATGGGGACAGCTGGAAGCCAGCGAGGTCTTAGGAATGGAGAAGGGGTATTGAAGGGCTGTACCTTGGCCGGCACTGTCTGCAGGAGGCTCCCTATGGATTCCAAGGCCATATTTCTATCCACTTTCGAAGAGCATTGGCCTCAGAGCGACCCAAGGCGAGGCACCAACTTCCTTTCCTCTATCTAGCTGCCGGCAGGTGGGGGTCGGGGGTGTTCAAAGAGACAGTTAAATGTCCCGGCTTGTCCTGCTGACAACCCACTAATGCATACTCTTCTTTGAGCCCACGGAGGTCACCCAGCCTTCAGCCCGCAGCCGGGAAACCCCGGGACTCTTTCCTCAAGGGAGGAGAAAAAGGCGAGAAGGCCGTCACACAGTCCAGCCTTGTCTCTGTGCTAAAGGGCCTGATGGAGGGGAGTCGGGGAGATGTCGGTGCAGCTGGCAATAGCAGACTGCGGGTAGAAGCCAGGAGCTTTTTTTGGTTTTGGCTTCAGAGCTCCCTGGCAAGCTGAAGGGCCCCTGTTCTGCACCGTCCCAGCTGAGCCGTGGCCGAGAGGCCGGCATGCCTTTGCCTGAGTGCCTGCGGGTTAATCAGTGCAGAGCAGCGTTCATGGCTCCCGGACTAAAATCTCTGGCTTGGAGAGCAGGCTGTAGGTGACCTCTGACCTTGGGCAGGCTTGAGCAGTCCGGGGCGACCCTACGACGTTCAGCCTCGGTGTTCCCCCAAAGAAAAACAGTGTCTTTTGCGTGTACCCACCGGCCCACCTGCTTGGCTCTCCCCCAAACCAATTAATTACGGCAGCTGGCTGGCACCCTTTCCTCTTCTCAAAGTGTGAGGAGGAAGGTAAGTTCTGATGTCTCCAGGTTGTGCTCCTGACTCCTGATTAAGTAGCCATGGGAGTGTGCGGAGACAAACCAGGAGCAGTAATTTGAGGAGAACTTAGCCAAGCGTTTTCAGAGCTTTTATATCCCTGGCTTAGTGGGGAACTCATGTCTAGGGGCCCAGGGATTGTTCCCGTATTCTTTCACCCCTCCTTCAGTGAGATAACTGGCTTGCTAAGTGGGACCAGAGTTTGAACCAAAGGAGGAGATATTTACCCTGGTTCTCTACACCAGCCTGGTGATGGAGCTGCTACAGAGCAGCATAAGCTCTCAGCTGCCAGGCTGCCAGCCCAAAGCGCAGCCTCTGCAGCATTTGTTTGCATGCCTGTGGGTTTGTAATGCACAAAAGACTGCCAGGATCTAGGGGTAGAAGCGACCCAGGCCTCTTAAGCAGGGAGGGACTTGGGCAGCATTGTGGGCGGATGGGGCTCTCTAGGGAAACACACCCATTTTCCTCTGAAGCAAAAAGGTAAATTCTACTAATCCCAACCAACCAGGATGTTTCCAGTGCCAGATATCCTGCCATGAGGAAATTTAGAGCGAGGATGCCTCGCGTGCCAAACTTCTGTAGGATGCAACGTTGCCCCCCCCCCCCCCGTTCTTTCCTGATTTGTGCAGGGAAGAGCTTATTACTTTTGGGGATAGAAGCCTTTTGTTTAGAAAAAAAATTGAAAATAAATAAAACCCTCTGGGAAAAGGTGAGTCTACCCCCCCCCCACACACACGCACCCCTCAGGCTTGGACCTAGAAAAGATAGAGGAAAGGGCAAAAACACACAAGCTAGTTCAAGCCCAGGTTGAGGGTTGAGGGAGAGAGAAAGAGATCTTTGAGCATAGAGAATTGGAAAGCCTTTGAGATAGCAGAGCCCCATTTGGATTTGGCCTGTGGTTCAACAAGTTAAACAATCGCTTGTTCTGTGGGCTGGAGTGTCAAGACAGGCAGACGTCCTCATTGACAGAGGGCGTGCTGTGTTTGTCCAGCCTGAGACCTTTTCAATGACTGTTTGTCTTTCTAGGCCAAATTGAGGGTTGGGGCTGGGTGGATCGTCTCTCTTTGGCTGTTCCACTGTCGTTAGTGTTGCCTGACAGATGCAAAGGTCCCCAGGATGGGTTTCAGACTTTAAGATGGCCAAAGGTTTGGTAGCATTATCCACAAAATGAATTTGATAAGGGATGCAAGTATTGCGGGAGGGGGGAGGGGTTGCAGTTCTGACATTCTTAACTAAGAACTGGAGCCAACCAGGACCAGATGATAGAAATGATACTTTTTCCCCCCTATTGTGGTGAATTTTATACTAACTTTAAAAAATCAACCAATGATGATTTCCAAATGGGTTTGAGGGTGGAAGCCATGTAAGGATAAGGGATCCCACACCACTATGGGCAAGATCTACAAATCCACAAAGAAATTTCTCTCTTCTCAATTTCAATATGTGTACCTCAATTTTTAACCTGTCAACCTCCCAGAGGACACCTAGCCCTCCTCATTACATTTTACTAAACTCAGTAAACTTAAAGAAAGAAATGGGAACTTCTCATACATTAAATTCAAATTCAAGAAGTTAGAGGTATTTGAACACTGGCTGGTGCTTAAATCCTATTTACAAGGGAAATTAACAGATGAGTTTCACAAAAAAATGTCTAGGAGGAAAATGATTTTTAATATCTTGTATCATGAAGGATATATTGTTTTGCAACGGTAGTTCCCAGCAGAGTGCTTTCTCTCACTTTAAAATTTGAAAATGGTTTAAGAAAGACTGAAAGACTCTTCAGACCACACTGTTTTTCACTCATATATTAAGGCCACACAATCTTGCCATACAAACATGTATGAAATTGTTTAACCAGTGACCATCTCTCTTTTCTTCTCAAACAGGCTCAAAGTCAGAAAATGAGATACAAGACTTCCTTGGTGATGAGGAAAAGATTACGGCTTTACCGAAACTCCCTAAAAGAGTCTAGTAAGTTAAAATCCTCTTTCGAATATTGGTTTGCTGAAGTTATTCTTTTATAGTGGGAAGTTTTGTTTGGTCTTCTGGTGATGTTGAGTTGTGAGCTTGGAGATATTTCTTGAGTTCCAATGAAACTGAGAACAACACCTTGGCGTTTGATGCATTTGCACACAAATCAGTGACACAACATCCCACCAGCAGCCAGCTAATCCCCCTCAATGCCTACTCATCTGGACATTCTAGAATTAATATTTGACGACTCTCTCATTGAAACAACCACCCCTGACCTTCTGCAGTTCCACTGTCACATTATTCTATGACATATTCATCTTGAATTCATTTCCAGACGATTTGATTGGAATGAGGTTTGACATGTATTGGCTTCCATGAAAGGAGCAGACTTTGATCTTGGTGATGGGGTTTACATGATATGCATCATCTTTACCAGGGACACCAGCCTTCTGCAATGTGGCGGCAACTACGTTCCCACAATGTGGTGTCTGAACAGGGAGTGACTGACAGCCACTCTGTCAGGAATACCTTCATTGTGAAGAATTTAATTTAATATTCCATTTAGAATAAGCATATGATTTAGGGTTGGGTGTTTTCCCTTCCAGGCGCTTCTAGTTTTCCTCATTTCAACTATACCACCAACTGATGATGCTTGCCTCCAAGGTATTCCCTTGGTGGAAGGAAAATCAACCTTCTTTTTTTTTTTTTTTTTTTTTTTTTTTTTTTTTTTAATTTTTTTTTTCAACGTTTATTTATTTTTGGGACAGAGAGAGACAGAGCATGAACGGGGGAGGGGCAGAGAGAGAGGGAGACACAGAATCGGAAACAGGCTCCAGGCTCTGAGCCATCAGCCCAGAGCCCGACGCGGGGCTCGAACTCACGGACCGCGAGATCGTGACCTGGCTGAAGTCGGACGCTTAACCGACTGCGCCACCCAGGTGCCCCGAAAATCAACCTTCTTAACAAAAGTTAAATGGACAACTCAGGAAATGGCTTTCTTCTATTATTTTGGGATAATTCGATGGTAGAATTCTCAAGAGAGATGTGCTTATTATGTAAATTCACTTGTTTTAATCCCTCAGTGCTGTTCTGGAAGGTCTTTGACCATGTTTCTTAATCTTTTGTCAAAAGATGTTTAGCAGAACCCTTGCTTGGAAATTAAATTTTATCCAAGTATATTTTCTTTCATACTCAGTTCCATTAATGATGATTAAAGCCCAAACTTCCATAGCAGAGGAGGGAAATCTCTTCCTTTATCTCCAAAATCCTAGATCTCATCTCCTTTGTACAATTTGGGCTGGGACATACAGTGGGCTCCTGGGGCTTAAGTTATTATTTTTTTTTCATAAGACTAGAGACAACCTCTCACTGCAGGAATCTAAAGTCTGTCTGTGAATAGCCTATAAAGAGATATGTTTCTTGTTTGGGGTGGTAACCTAGCTAGAAACAGGGAAGAAAGGATTGAACAAGTGACTGCAGATCTAGATGCAAATATTCAGACAAGAAGGCTTGTTCTTGTCTAGGCTCTGTGTGGTGGCCCTCAGCTCCTGAGACCCTGCTCTGGGCATAACCTGCAACAGATAATCATCAGTTAGCATTGCTGAAAAGATCAAAGTGGAAAAATAGCCTAGCTATTGATCTGAAACCTCCCCCATTTCTTTCTTTTCCAAAGGAGAGAGGTCAGACATTCCCCTATTTGAACCGGTGATGTGAGGAGCTCTGGCAGATGGCAGGGCCACCAAATGTCATATTTCTATACAGCAGGGCTAAAAAATCACTTTAGTGTATGCTGTTGCTTTGGCCAGGCTGAGGTGAACAAAGGTTCTTAGGGCAGGATTCTGGGCACTGGATGGATGTTTGGCATCTGGTGGTGGAGCTTGCTCCACACAGGCCCCTACAAAAGCCTCCAGTGCTTCTTTGAATTCTGCTGAAGATCTCTGGGCTGCAGAATGTGGTGGTTTTTCTCCTGCAAATCAAGTAGGAAAGTGAACTCAACAGGGCTGTAACTCCCAGCATGGTTAGAAATAGAATGCTCCAGCCAAGCATTTGGTATTGGGAGTCAGTGTGGTGAGATAACTTTCTGAAAGAAAAATTGTGAGCACCACTGAGGAACACCACTCCTCAGCCTGCCCTGTCAAGTCAATGGAGTCAGGACTCTTTGATACTTGGCACTGGAAGACTCAAAGAAACCACCCTGAAAACTAAAATATACCTCCCTGCCATCGGCGTTCCACCTGTCATCTGTGGTTACCTGGATACTGCTTTGGGTCTTATTTTGGAGATATGCCTTAAAGACCCTCATGTAATCACCTAGAGTTCCCTGTCTATATTAGTGGCTAAATGGATTTTTTTTCCCCTCCCTGTCTCTGTCCCTGGGAAAATGTCCCTCTAGGAGAATTCCTTGTCCCATTTCTGTGTTTAGCCAACGTGTGAACCATGTGGCTCTAACGAACTTGCAAGGATCAGACAGCCTTACTGACCTGCAGGTCAAGTAATCCCTGGCTACTCAAGAAGGATCTACCCGGGATGGGTCCATATGTTTTCAGTACTTCAAGAGAATGCTGCATCTGGGAAGGAGCTCCATGGGGCCAGGTTACTATCGGTGAATTTGGCTGAATCAGACATATCTGCCCTTTCGCTGTTGGCACAAAAAGCCACGCACATGTTCAAAGTTTTTCAAGGGTAAAGTTAGTAAGAGTATATAGCGTACTAACAGTCTACAAGTATAAAACCTCTGCTTCTTATCCCTAGAGTCTACAGAGTCAGGGCTTAGAACTTAGGGGGTCCACAAACTTGAAAGGGAAAAATTGCATCTTTATTTTCACCACTTTCTAATGGAAAGTTACATGTTTCTTCTACTATATGTGTTAACAAAAACAAGACTATTAGAGTCCACTGGCTTCACAAAGCTTCCAAAAGGGTCCATAGACTAAAACAATTTTAATACCCCTGTTCTCTGCTGTTATTCAAAGCTTATGATGTAGGTGAGGTCACAGTTATATATTGAGGGATCCATTTTTGTGCAAATCAGAGATTTAATGGGAGCAAAAGTGGATGATGAGTTTGACAAACATCCTGAACAGTAGGTTGTAGATCATGTAGGTTCAGGTGGAAAAGAAGATATTTTTATTGCTGGACCACTGCAGAAGTATCCCTGCCCTTAGGCCTGAAAGCTACAAGAGGAGTTGACTAAGCTCTATGTTCAGAGTTGGTTAGGAGAAACAGCTAGGCAAGGGGTCCCAGGGAGGAACACATTCATTTTGGGTTTGGGTTTTTTTGTGTGGGGGGGCTTTTTGTTTGTTTGTTTGTTTGTCTTCAGAAGCCCTTCATGGGTTTGGCCCACACTTGCCTAGACAACTGCGCATTCAACAGACACCTGAGCAGTGAGGAGCCTTGAAACCACTAAGACTAGGCCTGGCCATCACAAGGGGGAAGGGAAAACAGAGTGAGAGACAGGAGAGGAGGCTTCTGTGGCAGAAGGGTAAATCCCAGAAAGAGAGAGTATGGGAGGAGGTAAAAGCCAGGAAGGAGACAAATCCTCCAAGTCTAGTCTCAACACTATGTACACATCCTTGGTTTCCAGAGCAGAAGGGATTCGACTGTCAAAAGCTCTCCTTCAACGTTTCTTTTCCTTTTCTTTTTCCTTTCCCTTTTCCTTTCCTTTCCTTTCCTTTCCTTTCCTTTCCTTTCCTTTCCTTTCCCTCTCTTCTCTTTTCTCTCTCCTCTTCTTTTTTCTTTTTCCTTTCTTTCTTTCATTTCCTTTCTTTCTCTCTCTCTCTCTCTCTCTCTCTCTTTCTTCTTTCTTTCTTTCTTTCTTTCTTTTCTTTCTTTCTTTTCTTTCTTTCTTTCTTTTTAATGCTAACGCAGCATCTATTGGTCGCATTGCTTAAGCTCTTCCGGCCGGCCAGAGGAGCAAAAGACCTGGACTTGTCAAAGCCGAGGGAAATTGTGTAAGTTAATCCCTCGCTAAAATGCGGCCCGAGCGGGGAACAATGTATTAAATGAAGAACGTCTCAAAGAATCTGCCAACCATTATAAGTAAGTTAATTATTTTTTTAAAAAATTTAAAAGAAACCCTTTTTACTGACCAGGAAATGTATAAGAATAGTTCTCCGTGCTGGGGGTGGGTGGGGCAGCTCAATCAACTCCAAGTCAGAGTTCCTTGCAATCTGTCCAAACTTCTCACCTCGGCTAGGGATATGGGATCTTTTACTCAATCCTTACAACTTCTCTTAAAAATCCAAGCTTTCCTCTGCTTTGGAGGCCCTTTCTATGGCCGCTAGGGAGGCCCAAGTACCTAAGTTGGCATTTTTGGCTTCAGAGAGCAGGGCAGGCGTTAGGGCGAGCAGCCCTTTAAATCGCCAAGCTGTGCAGCCAGCCCTAGCCGGTCGGCGGCGCAGACAAAGGACACTCCCCCCTGTTCAGGCGGTACTAGGCTAGGCCGAAACTGAAAGGTTTATTTCCTCCCGCCGACCCCCACCCCAAGACTGTAGAGCCTCAGCCTGGGAGGGCGTCCGGCGAAAGGAGGCCGTGGGCCCGCAGTCCCTTTCACAGCCTGGGCTGGGAAACTTGGTGTCCACTCTTCTCAGAGCCCTAAGGGCTAGCGAGCATAGACGCAGAGACTCCGGCCACTGGCAACAAGTGGAGGGAGCTGAAAGTGGAAGTGATCGCGGTCCCGTTTCCCAGAGGCTCTGTTTGGCGTCAGGGTACAGAGCTCAAGACTGCAAATTGACACGGGGAGACCCGGGGATGAGGACCTGTTTCTCCTTGGAGCGTGCCCCTCGCCTCTGTTTCTTTGGCCAGCCGGCCCGCGGGGCGAAGGGGTTTGTGGCGGAGAGGATTCTTAGCCCCTCTCGGGAGAGTGGCGTGGGTTCGAGGCCAGTCTCTCCCAGGTCATTCTGGGTCTGGTCAGGGGCGGACTCTTGGGTTTAGGGGTCTCCGAGCGCCACTTGAAAGGAAGGGCTGGCAAGGCTAGGTGGGAAGGATAGAGTGGGGAGAAGGGAAAGGGTCGGGGAGTCCAAGGAAATGAGAGAAAGAGACATGAGGGACACGAGAAATTTCGGCAAAAGCGAGAAAAAATGATAATAAAGCTCAAGGGCTGCTAGCCTGAGAGTTTCCTCCGCTCCCGGACGCGTAGTCTGCAGTCCCTGGGTACAGCAGCCCCCTCCCCCCGCCTCTGGCTCCGGGGACAAACCCACCAAGCAGGCCGCCATCCCCTCGCGCCCGGTGCTGCCCCGTCCGCAGGGCTGGACTGCCCGTCTAATAACCCGAGTACTTTACGTAAGGCGCAACACCCCCTCCCCAAAGTCGTGGTGAAAGAAGGCATAACCCAACCCCTCTCACTTCCTGGAGCAGTGAGGCAGAGCAGATCTACTCAGCTTTCCAGAGAGGAGGGGGAGGGGGCTCAAGAGGAGAGAAAAGAATCCGTGCCCGGGTCAGAGCGCATGAGCAGTAGAAGCAAGATATGTTGGGGGTAGGGTGGGGTGGGGTGGAGAGGCGCTGGAGCAGGAGAGAGAGAGAGAGAGAGAGAGAGAGAGAGAGA